AACATTTGGAACTAGGTTTACATAAATCAATCTATTACCCACACCATGGTTCACAGGCTTATGATTTATATTCTCTGTAGCTTTGAATTAACAGGAACTTACTTGGCACTGTGTTTCATTCTAATGTCCAATTTTCATTAATCTCATTAAAAAAAAAAAAAGAAAAACAAAACAGGCTACACAAGGTAATGCTATATCACTCTCCACTATACAGAGTTGGGGTCACTCCACAGAAGCGAGCTGTAAAAACATAACCACCTGATTATAATCACTTGCTTATGATGTTATGATGCCATCCCTGAGGGGCAACATCTGTCTGTCTTTTCCAAGCAGACCTTATCGCTCATTTACTCCTTCAATTTCTTCTTCCTCAACACATTAAAGGCGTGCTATAGGGTTTTTGTGCAGGACAAAGATGAGATCGTGTGACCACACAGGAATCAGCAGGTTATATTAAAAAGAAAGCTGTTAATGCAGCATATGGAAAAATAACAATTTTGGAGCAAATGAGTCTCCATCGCTCCTGTGGCCACAACAGAATTCTCACAGCTCAGAAAATGTGTGTAGTGGGAGAGAGCAGTGGTAGTATCCCACCTTTTCCTCCTGAGACTATTACAACTCTAATGTAAATGGGATCACATTTAAAGTTGGTTTGAGAATCTCTCAGTCTCTAGCTGGTATCTCTATCCCATAAAAGGGAAAGCATCGCGGCTAAAGGGTGAAAAGAGAATTCGAGCACTAGCTCATCCATAAAAACAAGTATTTCTTGCTGTCTTGGCTACTTCATCGGGACTAGAGAAGTAGTAGGTTAGTTCTGTTGTGTAGAAAGCAGAAGATAGGAGAAATAAAGACTACACTGTCTTTTCAGCCCGTAATTTCAGAATCGAGGACTTTATAGTCAACTGATGTAGAAAAGCCAAAGCAGAGTTAAACAACTGATGAGTTTTAGATACACTGACCGATGTGTGTGTATTATGCGTTATTCTCTCTAGCTAAATCAGCAAGCCACGTGTCATTTCAACTCTCATTACAGAATTAATTTTTTTTTAAGTTGTAAAGACACACAGGCAGGGCCTACGGTGCCCTAAGCAGCACAGGTCAATGAAGCAGCTGGAGAGTTCCTTGACCACATTGCCAGACAGGTTCAACACAGCGTATCAACCATGGTTCAACAGTCATCTTATTTAAGCTACCCAAAATGTTCATCTAATCTTGCAGAACAAAATTTTAGGTCCTTTGAGAAAAACTCAGCGGCTAACTTCGCTGTTCAGCATAAACCACGTGATGGCACTAGAAGACCAGACAGAATATATGGTTCTAAACTGGGCTTGGCACACAAGTAGGTACATGCTTTGGCTACTTTCAAAAGTTCAGCTTTCCTCCAGCTTATCTTAGCATGGTCCTTCTTTCCAAATAGAATGGCTAGGGGTTGGGGCTGAGCCCTGAATTAAAAATATAGTGATAATTAGTCTTGTCTTTTATCTCTGGAGATCCCCGATATTCCCCAAAGCCAAAGTCTTCACATAAAGCTTCTCAGAACTATCAGAGCATGCCAAAGCATGTTTTCTCACAAGCAGAATTAGATATGCCTGGGCCTAGTATCAAGAATGTCCCTGGAAGTTTAGATTCCCGTGGCAGTGGGCACGGTGACAAGTTTAGAAAAGGTTTCCTTTTGGAACATGAACTTTAGATGTTCCTGAGAAGCACAGCCATATGGCGATATGGAAACACAGAAATTAAATGGTTCAGGTTAAGTTTCTGTCTGTATGAATTCATCATTTGAATGGCACTCTCCAAGATTTGGCACAGACCTAAGCAGAAACATCATGCTTATTAGTCACATAATTTCATTGCATAAACCAGCCCAGGTTTTTTAGTGGCTAAGTGCCTCTCTCCACTCTAATTCACTTGAGTCTCCAGTACAAAAAAAATGCTTGGCCCACTTGACTGCTGTTCATGTAGCAACCTACCCAATGCAGCTAAACCTGAAAAAATGTAGACACAAAAAAATTTAAACTTCTATTTCCTTACATTCACAAAGATCATATCAATTTTTTTCCAGGGAGCTGCCTATAAACTCAAAAGCTATTTTAATGTAATTACATTTAATCAAATTATGATTTTCTTTTTCTGGAAGTACAGGCAACAATATAATAACAGAGAAACCGATTCACAGTGGAAAATACACTGCAAGTGCTGTTTACGTATTATACAATTAGTACACTAAATCTTGTGTACATCACTGAATATGCAAATAGGTATCTTCTATGTGACAAGAGATCCTTACAAACAGCATTAATTCCTACAAAAGCTACTCATTGTTTCAAGAAGTTTCATACAATGGTTTGTGATTTTATTTACCTTGGGAAAAAAGCGCCTGCTTTTATAACCAAAAGGGAAAAAAAAAAAAAACAAACCAAAAAGAAAATGGAAAGAAAGAAATGCATTAAGCAATTGTAGAAGCAAACCAACCCAGCTGGGGCACCACGACCAAAGCAAGCCCTGTAATAGTATAATGACCTTTAATGAGTGTCTGGGGAAACAATACAGTCCTAGCATAAAAGACAAAGGGCAAAACCCATCATGGCTCCAGTAACACTAATTCAAAATGATTTTTAGAACAACTAAAGAATGTAAGAGAGGTAATCTGATCCACCAATCTGACCTCACTTTGATTCCAGGGCCCTGCTGCTGCCATTTCTAATTGTGAAACACTCTACATTTCACATCTGCTCATATTTAATGAAAAGCCGACTCTCACCGCCATTCTTTCAGCTAACTAGCTCTGTCAAGATGGGCATCATACGACCCCTGTGCACTGCAAAGAAAACACACTGATTTCTACTGAAGTCTTGCCAGCGAAACGCTGCACTCGTGTGTGTATATATATATTTTAATTGGAAAAGAAAGGCTTATGCTGCTTTGCAGAGAGTGTGAATTGGTATTGATTTTCGTACATATTATTAACAGTCAAAGGTGACTAGTCTCACAAGGGGCAGAGGGAGATCTCTTTTGATTTGATGGAGTGATGAAGGGGGGAAAAGGCCCTTGAAAGATAGGATGCTAAAAATCCCCAAAGCTGTCAATATCACTTACTCTTCTAAACATAATGCAGATCTAATGTGTTTCCCAACAGTACTGTTTTTGGTGGCGATAATACCATTATTGTGGAGGTTTTTGGCTCAGCAGGCAACACAATCAAAAATGTTTACTTTATCTTCCTCTGTAGAGTCTTAAGTGAACTTGAAAGCTATGGTAAACCTACAAATCATGGTTTCTCTTTCCTTGCCAAACAGAGCTAATAGCAGAAACTTTACCCATTTGTAGGGGACATAGTCATTTAGCCTGGTCTGGCTTCTGTTAACACTAGTGCTGGGACCCAACCACACACTCTCTGCACTGGTCTGTGTTAACGCAAACTATACCAGGCACTGTGTCATCGAGGCTGTTAGGCTGCGTAAGTAACACTGCCTGCAGTAATTCTCAATCCGGGAGGGTTTCTTGTTCACTCTCCCTAACAAAATATGTTTTGCTATGTTTTACTCTGATAAAGGTCTCTCTTAAGGATGCTCCTGTAACTTAGAATAGGACTTAACACTGGGAACCATCTCCCCTGAGGTCATGCACAAGTTGCAACCAAGAAGATAAAAAGGACATTCAGAGTGCTTATACACATATACAGAGAGATTTCTGGTGAAATCTCTAAGAAATCCTGTTAGAATCAGTTTAATTGACGCAGTCTCCAGACAAAAAATGCTAACAAAAATCATGGTATTGTTATTTACGCCACATTTGTGGCTAGAAAAATAGTTCAAATGGCAAAATAGTTAAACCCATGTCATTCAACCACTTGGACTATTTAGTGCAACACACATATGGTATCAAAAGGCAATCAGATGTGTTATCTACTAACTATAGTACAATCTTAGTAGTGGAAGGCAATTTTCTCCATGATGACTCGTAATATAAAGCAGACATGCTTCCTGATCAAAACTCCTAATACTCCCTTATAGATCTATCTGAATGATATTATAGGTTTTCTTTGCCGTTTGGGTAGGGAAATGAAAACAGGTCGTGTCCCAAGACATAATTTTGCCTGTTATGGATGTCTAAAGAGGGTAAGAAAATAAATAAAAAAAATCCAAACACCATTTTATCTAACAACCTTTCTCAATTGTTGACACCACGCTGATAAAGGACGCTTTGGAATCCCTACTGCTTGCCCACAGAATTAACAGCTATGCAGAATTGTTCTCATTCTGTCTTTTCCCTCTCAACTCTGATCTTTCAAAAGAGCTTTTGAGGCATATTCCAGAACGGTACTGTCCTATGGGACAGATTCTACAATAAATTTCAAAAAGTTTGCCTCCAGAAGTTTGCACTAGCCTAGCCTTTCTAAACAGGCACTACAAAAAGTACAACTGTTTTTACTAAGATTTCTGCAGTTTGGTGTTGGATGGAAGGTCCTGCTTGATTGAGAATGACGGGTTACAAACAAAGCTACAGCTAATGGTAGCAGTACAGAATAGAATTCCAGCTACTACAGGTCAGCTACTAAGTTGTATCCTGTACATTTATTCACTGCCTATTGTATGCTGCTCTAGCGCCAGCACTATTAAAGCTGTCTGCTTAGCATCAGTCATAGATTTAGACACAGGTCTGTCCCTCCACTGAAGCACTTATTGTTTAATTAATGACAATTATATTGTATGAATTAAATAAAAAAGATGTCACCAAACTGCACTACTAAGGTCCTGCATGCTATTGCAAGAGCATGCTTCAGAAAGAGCACACAAAGCAAAATAACGAATTACATTTTTCATATTAAAAAGAAACTAAAACAGAAATATAAATATAGAGCTCTATTAAAATTTGGGTTTGACTTTTTTAAAAAGCATCAGCCCAGTAAAACTCACAGAACTACAATGTACGACACAAGACGGGGATGATACCACAGACACCACAGACATGGAACAGCATGTGTTGGTGTTAAAACTTACAGGCACGTAAACTGGTGGAGCAATCATTAACAGAGACAGAAGAAAGTGGGAAGGCTCTCTCAAGGGTGTCCATGTTACTATGTACACTGCCTGACATGCAAGAGCAGTCACGCTCAGAGCGTCCGCAATCAAAACAACATGCCAGTTTCATTCTCTTGTAGATGGACATCTTGGCTATAACCATGTGTTGGATGGGAGGAGAGGAAGAGCAGCAGGTTAATGGCAAGGTTATATATATAACAAGGCAGCTGGAAGGTAATTTAAGGGATTTAATACAGGCCTTAGTTTATGTTAACAGTCTTGACCCAGAAAAAAAAATGCAACTAGATTATTGATAACGCTTTGGCTGTACATTAAAAGTAGGGCAAAAGATAAATTGCTCTTTATTTCTGTTCAGTCTTACAGGGTGACCGCAGACGTGGGGAAGAATTACTGTTTACAGTCAGGTGTTTAGATCAAAAAAGAACATAGTAAAAGCAGAGCATCCTAAGAAAATATTTTTCCCTTGGCACAATTAATACTATTGGGCTAAAATGAAAAGAAAAATCTAAAGTTGCTAATCCATTAGACATTTTTGGCTTATCCTGCTTCCTGTAAACATCAAGATCTTTTATATATCTATATATATATGTATGTATACACACACAAAAACACACATACACATATATTCTTACATACACACGCTCACACACATATACATTATACACATACATGCATATATATACATATATATAAATATATTCATTCTTAAACATATGCTAATAATTTCTCAGTATTAAACTGTGCCAGGGAACACCTTCATCACAATAAATTACACAGTACTGAAGAATTACAAGATGTTCATAAAATTTTCTGAAAAATTTACTTTGTTTACATTATATCTTCAGGAATTCAAATTAAACTCTTGACAGAATACCAATATTTGTCCATATAAGAGACACAACTAGTAATGGTAAATATGCTCGACATTAAAATCAGTTCACAAATAAGGCATCACCAAAAGCAGACAGAGCATTGGTCCACTGAAACATGCTGAACCAATCGTTGGCACTTTTTCTGCTCTGGATTCAAAGGCAGATTGAGAACCAGATAACCGAGTGTAGAACTAGAGGCTAATTCCAAAAGGAGTGCCGGGTTCGAACAGAACATTTATGTCCTTCAAGTCATGGGAATGTCCTTATTATTTCTTTCTAGAAATATACAGCATCCTATTTTACAAATGCATGTGTGATTACCATCGTGCAATTTTGTACGTGACCTGAACCACAGGTAAAGATTAAGTCTGAAGAAACGCAAAGGCCACTTCGATTGTTTTACATGTTGCACTGAACCAACACTTTTGGTAATGGTTTAGATTGAACTGACTCAATTATACTCAAAACAAAACAGAACACTGACAGGCAAAAACAAAACCTTAAAAGCAAATGCAGAAAAAAGGTAATGTTTCTCTGGCCTGTACCTTCAGTTTAGGATGTCTTTTTTGCATTATTTTAATGACATTAAATTTAAAATAATTTTTTTTTTTTTTTTTTCCAGTTTCTTAATGTCACAGTCACCAGGGAAGAAGGATTGAAATCACTCAAATGGGTCAAGTCCTGTTCTAAGGCCTTGATGACTTGCCATACAGTATACTCGTCAAGCAAGGGTAACATTATGATTGTGGAAAACAGGCATTGAGGGAGATGAATGAGTGATCTCTTCAGCAGCGACTCCATTCCTCTAAAACTTTGCTCACATGACTAATGCCATGTTCTTTTAGCATCCTAGTAGAGTTATCTTACAGCTGTTCAGAAAGTCATCATGCAGCGCCAGGCTTGTTCATTGCATGGTACATCATTCCTCAAGAGCTCGGCTTTTAGTAAGATGGTTTCCACTGCAGTTTTTGATGCATACACATTCAAACTACACAAAATTCAAAACAGCGTTTGTTTTCCTAGGGTTTCCCTCTGTCTAACTCTTCCCAATACATTCTTTAAAATCGAAAAGTTGGGCAGAAAAAGAAAAGCGAAATATGTTACCAGAAATGTGGAAGGCTTTCAATTGTGCCTATTTTATTATTTTCACTTTACGGAAACGAAAGAAAAATAAAGGGCGTTTGTGAGACACACTAACAGTACGTGAGGTAAAAGGCAGGCCCATTTTGTTTTAATTACAGCTGTTTTGAAGGACTTTTTCTAATCAAATGCTGTAGCAAAACACACTGCTCAGAAATTCTCAACTGCTACGTCATTGGTTAGTAACAGTCCCTGGTTTTCATTTACTCGTAGCCGTATCTTGTCAACAGTCAATAACAGGATAGGATACATTTACGAAAATTCAAAGAAATCATCCTTCAAGGCAAACAGGGTTGGGAAGGAAAACTTTTTGTACCATTTTTGTCAGACTTAAACCAATGAAGCGGGAAATTTAAGACCTTCCGTTCAACAGGGGAAGGACTCCATGGCGCTTCGCAAGAGCAACGCCCTTTCAGGGACTGTTTTTAACTGTTATTATCAGTTGTTCTGGAAATCATGCATCATTTTAATAGTTCACATCATTAACATGCAGGAAACAGGATTCGACCTGGAAATATAAGTAGCAGAAAGGACTTGCTATAAGGGTTTCAATCAGTATATAAGCAACTGCATATCAGAGCAATACATTTTGGAAAGAAAACATGCTGTTACTCTTCATTCCTTTTATACAGTCATTGTTACATTCATACCAAATACAATACTTATTTTCTTTTAAATAAAACAAAACATGGATTATTAGTAGGGATGACTAGTGACAAGATCAAAGACAAGACAGAAATGATTTTAAATGGTTCAGCCACACACATACCATTTCCTACGAAACTTCCATCAACATTAACAAAAAATGGGAATCATCAGAGAGACAGGGGGACCTTAAGAACAGCCTCTGGGTGGGTGTTAAATTCATTTGACACCTGTAGCACCTGCATAAGAATCAACTCATTTCTAGTCATAGAAATGTTATGGATGTGGAATAGAATTGTTCTTTGCAGCTAGCGAAAATGTAAGTTGGGACGCAAAGGAAATTACTTCCCTATTTTCAATTGAATAATAAATGGACAAAAAGGAAGAACAGGTCCTTCTACTTAGTCTGATGACAATCCCACAGCATTCGTAAACTGAATTAGGAAAAATTTCAGGGGAAGTTATCATGGACATAGATGTCAGACTACTTAAATAATTTACTGACAACACAAGGCATATATAGAATCATAGAATCATTAAGGTTGGAAAAGACCTCTAAGATCATCAAGTCCAACATTTTCCGATTTGTTAAGAGAAAAAGGAAAGCAGAATTTCTGTCTATTATTTATAAAGTAAATACTTTCAGAAACTTTTTTATTGCAATTTTTGTTGTATAAAGTAAATACTTTTAGAAACTTTTTTTGTTGCAATTTTTGTTCCAATTTTTCTCAGAAGGCAATAGCCTTCCATTCAGATACGGAAAGAATGTGCCTTAAGATGTCTAAGCTTCTAGCAATACCTTGCTTTGTGTCCTCAAAAACTCAAAAAGTCCAGTCAAAATTTCTAGATTGGCTGGATCTGAGGTGTTACTTAGAGTTCACAAACAGTAATGGGAAATAATTCCAGCTGCAAAAATAAGCTAAGAAAACTGCAGATTATTCTCTACCTAAAATGTCAAGGAACAGCTCCTTTTCTTTAAAGCAAGCAGAATAAAGTATCTCTTCATCTTTGTTGATTTTTTTTTTTAAAAAAACCCCATAGTCTGCCCAATCCTCGTCTTCCACCCATCGCTAAAGCAGTTCTCCTCGGGACCTCAACGCTAACAAAAAGGTAGATCTACGAGGCCATCTAGTGGGTCTCCAGCAGATAACAGCTGATTAAGAAGATGATTAACTGGAGGTTTCTTGACCAGCAAATGGTAAAAAAAGGTGCTGCTACACTTACGAATTGAAATGCACATGGCGTCATTTCAATTCATCACGTTCTCATGATCCACGCTATGAGTAAAATAGCAGCAGCATTAAAGGACGACCAGACTGATTTGATCGCCTTTTTGCAATGCCGCTCAGCATCATGAGGCTGAAATATTGAAAGGACTTCCCCCAGCAGTTTCAGTTTCCTGAAAAATACAGCAGCCTATCTCAAACTGTTGGTGAGAATTTATTTTCTCTTAACACAACAGGAAAAGCTATCTCTCCATTACTGAACTTTTACAGAACAACTTCAAGACCACCAAGTCAGCTCGTCCACTACCTTGCAATTTCTGCAATCAGAGGCAATTGGTTAGTAGTTTGCTGTAATTCATACGGTGCTGGTCATTCTCCAAGCTGTAGAAACAGCAGGTGACCTGAGTGGCATTTTGCCCTATTTTAGTAGCTATAAGAATGACTCACGGGTTTTGAAGTAATGGCACATTTATAGACCAGTTCATTTGAATTTGCAAATCTGATCATGACCTTCCTTTCATTACCTTAAAGAAGACTCTCAGCCAGCGTACGCTCAAAGCTAACTCCATTTCTGAACAAACTGAAGCTACTGGGGAAATGGAAAAAAATAAGTCAAAGCTACATGACCTTTTCGTTTTGAACACTCTCTTAGCATGAAGAGCTCTTATTTGTTTATTTATTACTATTTAAACTGATTTCTCTGGTACAGAAAGGCCTCGACACAGAAGCACATTTAAAATATATACATTGCTTCAAATAAATCCAAATTATTTCCAGTATTTTGTCTCAACGTCATCAGGATTTATCATCTGATTAATAGAAATTAGTTTCTTTCTGTTTTATTATTCAGTACTGATTCTTGTCATGTTGACCTGTTTCACAATCTGCTTTTTTTGTGCTGTCCCGTCTTTCAGCTGTGTCATCCTATTGGCTGCAAATACATCTTTGGAGAAATTTCTGTTCTCTATTTGAGTGCTTTCTACCACAACAGGATCTCAATCCTTTAGTGTAGTTTGCAGGGGAAAAAAAATCTCAACCCTGATTAAGACCTGAAGAGTTATCACACAATAAATTCAAAATATCTGGTGAAATGTTGAAAAACTCACTTATTTAGAATAGCTGCAGCTGTGCGGTATGGTCTGGTACAGTAATGCCTCACTGCAGCTATGAAATATTTGATCCGTCTCGTTGTTTGAAAGAACAAGCCCATATAATCCCAACACTGCCCTAGAACCAGTACATCTCTTTGCAGTGCAAATTCTTTCCATGTCCCAAATGCTGTGTTTATTTAAATTCTCACAGCTGTACACACCAGAAGTGGCTGACGAGAGCCTTCACAGATTCTGTACACTTTAAAATGGTATGACTTCAACTGATATGAAGTGGTCTATAAAGTTCATATTTTATATATAATAATAATATTAAACTTTACAGCTTAGGTTCTGAAAAGTCAGTGAGGCTCCACTCAAGAAATTAATTTCAAAACAAGCAAGCTGGGGAAAATAATCACTGTAGCTTGCTCCCTGTTGAAGATATCTGTAGGTCTATACATTAAAAATTAGCCACACAATTTTTTTTTTGCTGATGGGGAGAAATGAGTTGGATAGGGACAGTAAAAGACTGTTTTGCTCTGTGTCAGCTATGCAATGGAAGAGACAAAGTACAAAAAAAAAAAATTGAACACGGGTCTGCCAACAAATTGCACTTAACCAGGCAAACAGTGCTATAGTGGTAATTACCCCAGCCTAACCAATATCCCTAAAAATTCATGAAATATCATTAGAATCATTTCAGGGAAATGCCACTTCCAAGATCTCATTTTCAAATAGGATTAAAAATAAGGTTGTGGGGAAAAAAAGGGGCAAAAAGGTGGAAGAAGGGAAAACTGCTGTATTTTCTTCAGCGTCACCCTAATCTCCGTGGGTGTAAACGATGAGAAACTTGTGGGTATGACGTCACTGCTACATGCAACATAAATAAAGAAAAGAACCAAAATACTGAACAAAAATACTCTCTGCTAGAGAAAGACAGGTTGGACCGTACTCTGGGCTACAGGGAACCCATTTTTACTCACAATAGATCACTATCAGTGTGCAGTTAAAATATAGTAGGGGCCGTGTTCCAAGGCAGCAAGAGGAAAAATAAATCAAAAGTTTGTCAATTGTCATAGATTACAAGAAAATTCCTTCAAACACATCAATGTACACATGATATGTCCCTTCTGGGGCTCAACCCCCACCGTTCACAGCAAGCACTGTCACTGGAAAAAATATATAGACAATTAGACCATAGCTGTTGCACAAAATGAAAGATACAGGAGGAGAAGGTCATCCAGTTTAGAGATTTCATCCCAACGTGGCTGCATTTTATATAAATATATACATATATTTGGCCCCTTGCTGCAAAAACTAGAGTTAAATGGAATAGGAAAGAGACTGAAAACATTAAGAAAAAATATTAACAATCTGCGAACAAAATTTCCACGCAAGCATTTCTCTGGACAATGCGACATCAGCATTCACATGTTATTCAGGGAGTGGGATGGGTAAGGAGCAAGGGGTGGCAAAGAAACTGCAAAAGGAAAGCAAGGTTACTGTAATTATCCCTGGCCTTGTGGAAACGTACCAATCTGCCCTGAAATATTAATATTAGGCCTAACAGGTTTGGACAAATGGCTATGTAGGTCAGACTCATGTTTAGACCCCAGCAATACCACAAGCTAATGTTCAGACTGTAGCTGAATTGATGTGCAACTTCAGATGCATTTTTGAAGAATGTGGTTTTGCAGTGTCGTAGGAAGCTGCATTAATTAATGCCACCATAATTGAGTTTTCCATGTAAAGATATTCTTTCACATTTAATTCACCTGAATGCGTCAATATTTTTACACACCACCTTTCATTTCATCTTACACATTTTGTGCATTCAGTTGCCTCTAATTGCTATGTTACTCACTAATTAAAATACATATTTATCATATAGGACTACAGATATGCATGTGTGACTATTCATAGTGTCTTTGAAAATCAAATTGACGTATTAGCTGTTGACAGATCAGTTGTCAGTTTCCTAATTGAAGTGGGAAAGAGCCTTCTTAATTTATGCTTTGTTCTGGTTAGGCTGCATTTTTTAAAAGCAATGATTTGTGTAGCTTACAGACGGATAACATAGTTAGGATTTTTCAAAAGTGATTAGTGATTTGAAAGCTGAAGCTAAGACATTTTATGTGAATAATAGACTGCACTACTTACCTTGAAATAAAAAACAAAATCTTGTCCCACAAATGGGATCTCCATATTATCACAAAAAATGGAGAGACCAAAAATCACTAATTACTGTTGAAATTTTTCATTTAATTTTTTTGACAACTGAGGAAAGCAAAGAAATTGTATTATTCCTAATAGTTGTGAGTGTGCTCCTAAGTGGAAGCTGTTTTGAGATGTACTGAGAGCTGCCAGCTATCACCATACCCGTGACCGTATGTGTGTGTGCAGGTAGGAAAGGAAAAGGAAGATAGGAGGAGAGGGAGGGGGGAGACAATGAAAGGGAAATTTAAGATTTTACTCTCACTGAGCATTTTTTTTTCCTCTTTTTCACCTGACTTGGAGGCTTCCCTCCTTAGCGTTCAGCTTTCGCTGCAGCAGCTCTGACAGCCGCCTCCTTCAGCCTCACTAACCCCATCATTTTGTTTCTTCATCTGTCCGACACCCTTTCATTTATCGGACTGCTACGTGTGACCATGCCATTTGGAACATTTCCTAGTGCTACACACAGAAGTCGTCACTCTCACCTCTCCACGGCCCTGCTGCTGGTAATGCATCCACTGCGCTGGCTGAGTAAAAAGATACTCTGTTTTCTCCCTGCTTTCCTAGTATTGAGGAGGTTACATTGATTTCCATTCATAAATAATACAGGGCTCTTGCCCTTTATACTGTGAATTTCTGTTTCCTGTCTCCTAACAGATTTCAATTAAAAGTGTAGATCTCGCTTTAAAATGACAGACCTTTGGGAACTTATTTTTTTTAAATCAGCACATGTGTGAAAAGCATACACTATGTGAAGGAGGAGCAGAGAAGAAAATACAAATAAAATAGGTCATCTTTGGCAGAATTAGATAAAATGAAACAGGTAACATATTTCTCTTTAACTGTTAGGTAATTTGGAAAAATGATTGGGTTTGAGAGTTAGAGACACCCCAAGGCATTTACCAGAACTTACTCAGCAGCCTCACTGGCTTTGGCAGCAGTTCAAAGGTCGCATTCTCACATGGATAAACTGTTCCTGAAGAATTTTTTTCCAATATGTTAGGCAATGCATACATTCCTTCCACATCAGGCATGCTTTCCATGTGCTTTGCTCTCCTTATGGCTACTGGGAGGATAAATACCACTTGCTGTCAGTGTTTCAACTGCTTTCTCTCAACTATACCACTTTGTTCAACACTCCTGCTTTTTTGTGGAGAGAGGAGTTTCTTTAAAAACTCCAGTGACATATTTCTTGTATTTAAAATCATCTTCAAGAATTCATCAATTTCAGGCACCCCTTCAAGGCAGAGAAGGTCCAGTTTAGGCTTTCTTCCATTCTTTAAGACAGATAACACTATGACTGGATCTATAAACAAGAGAGGGTTTTTTTCCCTTTTAAAAGTAATGGTAAAATAGACCTGATCAAAATCTTCCGAGATCTTTCAATTTACCTAATCCATACTTTTGAACTGAATGACCTTTTTCATGGCAGAATACCATGGAATGCACATAAATATTCAGATACCCATTGAGAAATGGATCCCTAAATCCTTTTGGTATCATCATTACAAATACGCATGGGTCAAACACATCTTGGGCCAAAATGGGGTTGTGATAGCTCCTGCAAAAAGTCCTTTCAAAGTATATATAGATAAAATGCTAATTTGTATATCTTTGTAAAAATACAGATGCAAAGCTTGATGTCAATTCCTAAACTCGTTTATCTCTTCATGCAAACTTTTCCAAATGATTTAGAGAGCAAACCTAAGAACTTAACTAAACCAAATACTAGCATTGCAACTATGGAATCTTCTAAAAGGATAGTATCTAAGAGGCAACTAAGATTTAATTTCATCCAGACAATCTCTTCTTCCACTAAAACTGATCGTTTATTTCCATAATAATTTATTTTAAAAGTTATATGATGGAATACTATTCCCTAGTTTCTTCTTTTACAGAATCATGTTCAGCAAGATAGACAGAAGTTCTTTACTTTGTAGAAAATTATGGAAATCACTGGATTTCTGCATGGTATGAGTGAGCGCAGAACTTTACTCTTGGCTCATTCTTAACTGAGAAACCTCCACAATTAGGTCTAGTTTGATTTAATTCTTCCGTTTTTGTTAGCTTTGGACTCTAACTGACTTTTTAATGAAGAAACAGGTGTGAGCGGTGTGAAACGTAGTAAAAATGTAAGCACTTCAGAAATGCAAATGACACTTACTATGATGCTGTGCATTTATTTCTTAGCTTTTCTGTACCACTGTGTAAAACATGTAAACACATGTACAGATATTCTTCAAGGCTGAACAGTTCATAAACAGGAGAGGAGGGGTGTGACAGAAATATTACTTACGCCGTTTGCAGCCACATTTTTTTATCCTTTTGGGATCCGTGATGTCATCATGACAGGCTTTGCAGTAAAAAAATGCCCTAGAGAGACAGAACGGAAAAACTGACACATTTCTTAATCCATACAAATGAAATTAGTCCCACATTTCCTCTTGATGCAGTGCCAAATTAATGAAACAGGCCAGCACTAATTTCCTTAAATCTTTGAATAGGTTTAGACATTTAAAGTAGGAAATATTTGCTGCGAGACCATTAATTTCAAACACAAGACTCCAAATTAGTGTTTCTTTTAATACACTTTTACTTGAAAAGTAACTGGGAGAAGGGATGATAATTATGACACAGTGTATCGGTTCATTTGCCTTTCATCTTAGAAAAAAGAGCATCCAATGAATTTTGTCATAAAAAGTATATATAATGAATTCTCTGTTCTTATTGGATATACCAGATTTTTTTTTTAATTTTTTTTTTGGTAAAGACTGTCTAGCACCCTTGGCCAATTTTTCAGCCTGGTCACAAGTAGCACTTCATTTTGGATACAATAAGAAATTGCTATAAGATCAATGTGACAATAACATCAGATAACGCTATTTTCCAAAAAACCCCAACCAAAACCAGATGGGGAAAATCCACTTAAAATAAGTTCCTAAAGGGACATATAAATGTAAGAACTGAAATAATCTTGATTCAGACTATTTTTTTGTCTTTTAAATTTGAATAGAGCAGATCCATTTCAGTTTTGAACAGACAAAAGCCAAAATTTCAAACAAAAATATGCAATTAACAAGGTGAACCATCTAGGTTTCCATTTAATGGTTTTGCTTATGAACCTCTACTCTTGTACCAACTGCCTCACCAAGAGGTGAAGCTCAAGGAAAAATAAGGAAGTGAGAAAGGCTAAACATCTGACTTTCTATAAGATTAAAACAAAACTCCAATTTAATAAATACGCATCAGACTGCCCACAGGAGAACTGAATCATGCCTGTCAAGTTACCGTGTCATGTAAGGCTGCTGCGACAAATTCATGAGGACCACGCAGCTGGCCGCTAGCTGCTCAGTTACAGTTAACCAGGAATCTCACTGGCATAGAAATTAAACATATTTTTTAACCTGCTGAAATCTCCCTGTATTTATCCATATTCAGGATATGTCCTTGCCTAGCTTCTCCCATTGCATACTTCTCAATACAAATTGGCAGTAAGAACCAAAGGTGCCAGTTTGCAAGCACCCATGGATTTTGCTGACAGTACTGTTCATACATTTAGGATGGTTGGATTGCTACAACAGTATGGAGGCCACTGGAACAGAACAATCTACAGTCCAAAATATAAAAAGAAAAATAAACAATATTAATACACAGCCTCTGAATAAACACAGCCTTTGGCAGTTTAGCTAGGATGATCGCTGCTAACTCTTTTTAATTAGACAGTGTACACCACACGTGGAACTATATTAAAGGAAATGTTCAGAAATATGCACTAGATACCTAAATCAAATAGTTACAAATTTATCTAAGTTATTTTACACCTCTGAATAATGGCCCAGGTAAAGCAGCCCAATGGAAGGAAGGCAGCAGATCTAACATATGAGACATAGACCAGAGAATACAAATTTAAATGTGCAGTAAGACCTTGTTGAATGTTATTAATATTTCTAAAATCAAGATAGTACGGGAGCTACTGATGGAAGATATAAGTCCTAAATGTAGCAGACTTAATTTCTCCAAGAAACTTCCAGGAAGATTGCTCTTTCAGACTGTGAAATTGTCTTCTTATTTTCAAGAAGCAAAACGTAAAATGAAAAAGTCTTCTCTGAGCACATGTATACTCTGCTGCAGAAAGTTTCTGGTCTTCAAAATACTCACCTTCCAACAAAAAGGAAACAAAACGTCTCCTAGTAAATGACAATAAAATATTTTTCAAACCTTGAGCCAATGTCAAGACATAAGCAAGGAGTAAAACGCCTCTGACTTTTACAGTTTCTCCCCAGTCCAGCTGTAATCCCCTGTATTGCACAAGAATCCGCTCTCACAAATATTCCCGCACAAAACTTCATCACACGAATTGGACATAGGTCATTTCTACAGATCACTTTTCTGCAGTCCACTGCAGGACAAATGTCCTAAAGAGTACCTTCAACCCTCTGCGCAAAGTCAGCAGCAAATGCCTGAAGTGACTGCTGCAATAAAATTATCTTTCTATATAATTGGGTTGAACTAAGTGGATTTGAAGCATGTGGATTTCTGATGTTAGTGCTAACATGTAAATGGATAAAGAAGAATATAGACACAATTCATATAGTTTGTATTATAAACACTCCACATTTTACACAAGGCTAATTACCTAAACATAATTGTTTCTAGGTATAATTGTTTCTAACATGAAGCTATTGTTCTAAAAATGAAAAAGTAACTCTAGCAAGAAGAGTAATTGAACATCGCATAGCTTTAGCTTAAAGGAGCTGAAATTTCTCCATTAGCATGTGACACAAAAGCAGAATAATCTAATTTGAATTTCAGGTATATAACATGTTTAATTTTGCTTTATTAAAAAATCCTTTTTTTTCCTCCAGAAGACCTCAGTTTTAGAACATTTTTCTGACTAATTCATAGCTCAAAAGGGTGAAATCAACACTTTACATAATTGGGTTTTTTAGTTGAAACACTTCTCATAATCATTTGCTTGGCACAGAAGAGCTAGGAAATGCGGTAAGGGAGGCAGCGTGTTTCTAAACAAAGCCTTCTGCAAAAAGCAAGGCAGAACTGGGAATTTTGTTTCATCTTGTTATTAGATAAAATGTGCTAGATGAATGATGTGTAAACTTTCTATAAGCACATTCATAACAGCCAACATCTCCCTGTTAAAAACGCTATGCCAGGTATGTTTAGTTACAGCCTGAAATAATTCCATTGGAGAGTGTAAAACACCTTATCAATGAAAAAAAGCTGGTATCTCAGTGAAGGAAGGCGAGGACAGTCCTGTATATTCCAATGAAGAAAAGCACCAGTGAGGAAAAGAACTATACACTGAGAGGCAGCGTGGCTGAGGCAGAGCTGGATGCAAATACTCCAAAGGTGGTGCTAGAAATACAAGGGCACAGGAGGCTTCATCTCCTGCTCTGTAGGCTTCATCTAGCCAGAAACTATCTTGGCTCTTTAAATGAAAACAGAAATCGAGCTCTCAGCGATTTCACTGTTTTGATGTTTTGACTTTCATTAAATATTCATGGCAAACATGTATTGCTTAAATATTATTTTCACTGTAATTTAATAATAGAAAGTTTAGGACTTCATAAAGGTTATAATTTGAAAATTTTATCATTCCAATATAGAATTCAGTTAAAACCTCCTGATTATTGATAGCACGACTTACAATAAAAATACAAATTACAGGGAAGCACTCGGCTGCAAATCTTCCTTTTTTTTAAAATCTTACAGACATTGAATAATTATTTCTTTTAAAAAATATTTTCTCACATTGCTCTTTTATTCCTTCCAAGCATATTATAATCCTAACAAACAAAAGTACACACGCTTGGTCCTAAACACAATACCACAAAATCCCTTTTCATTCAATCCAAATCTAATACAGTGAAGTACAACGAACCAGTGAAGTAGTCTACGGTGGCTGGGATACACTGTGCTGTTGTAGTTTGATTTATTATTATGAGGCCATAGAGTACGCAGTTCCAGTAAAGAAAAATGACAAGAACACTAATATTATTCTGCTGATGCAATTAGTAATGAAATACAGTAGCTTGCTCACATCAAGTATTTGCGAGAGTCCTTGTAAATAAGAACTACTCTAAACCTGAAACTTGGACAAAACTGTAATCCCTGTCCTCTCTCAAAGTAATTCCACTGAGAAAAATTCAACAAAAAGAAAGCAGACCAAAATTTTTACATTTTCTAGTAGGACTCAGGACAAAAGCCTCTTCGTCTCTTTTCACATCTGCTGCAAAATTATTTCATTTCCTTGATATTTAGGACTACAGTTAAGAAAATGGCATGCACACATGGCTGGTTCACTAGAGCACCAACTCCATTTCACCTGAGAATCTTTAACCAGATAATAGTGAAAATGAGGTGAGGTGTTCACATGTAAAGAAAAAAACAGAAATTCAATACTATATGTTTAAATTTAAAGATTAAATATATGAATTACCTTTTTACTTCTTTGGCATCACTTGCAATGAAGAATCCTAAAGTACCTTCTTGAATCTTGACATGGTTTCCAGGATTGATTAATATACTGCTCAGTGAAACAAGAACAAAAACAACAGAACCATAAGTTTAAAATACTTTTAACTGAATGTTCCAAAATAGCTTTATTTGGCTTTTTTATAGGGGACCCACTAGTTAGCAAAGGCTGCAAGGACATTTTAAGCCATTCTTCCTTGAAATTTCCAATTAAATAACAGTTTCACATGCTTTTTACAAAAAATTAAGTTTGAGATGGTCACATGCCTCTGCCTATAATCATACCATTTAACTGTTTACATCTGTTTTCTTATGTTTTTGCATTCAATATAGACTACACAAAATAACAAAGCCTCTCAGAAACACGATGTGTGAAGCTGAGCATTTCAGCTTTCTTGCTCTGTCATGCAAAGTGGTGACAAAATCACAATACGGTGAAAAGGGAAGAACCAGTAACCACCACTCAGTAGCAATATAAAATATCGTTTATGAAGCTAAACCCTTTAATGCAAATTTTTGGCCAATTTCTAGTGAAATAGAACATTAATGGGACCCCTATCTGGACACATAATGTTATTGTTTAAAATGATAAATACACACATACACTCAAGGGGAATGGTACAAGACAATCAGTCACGATAGCTGAAAAAACATAATAGAAAATTTTTAAAACACTGCTGTGCAGCCATGGAAGAACAAAAAAACCCCAACCACACTGACAGAATAGCCTCAGCTAAATTTGATGAAGGAAATTACAGACTCCTATCTGGAAGTGAGGTGCTCCTCACTTTGTAAGTCATAATGTAGTAATGGCACACATATGCAATTTACAGTAAAAAAAGGCTACCAGCAATTTAAACACTTATGGACTTAGCAAAAAATTGATTTTTTGGAAGTATACATATACACAAAAATAAATCAAGCCCATTTCTGACCAGATACACATTACTAAAATTTGAAGGCCAAAAGTCCTTCATGTTATTGTTAGGAGGGAAGATGGGTCTCAGCAGATCTCTTATTCAAGATGTTCTTTATTATTTATACAGTAGTGATAAATTAGCATGACAAAAAAATATACATGAAAGCTTTATAATGAGCACATTATTTTGTGTGATTACACCTGCCTTCAAAGCCCTATGAAAAGAAGATGCAGGCTGCAAAATGAAGCGCTCATGAGATAAGAATTAAAAGGTTGGTCATGCAGTCATAGGTCAAGCCCCATTATGTAAATATTATGATAAAATTCTTCACTTAATAGCCACAAACTACTTCTTTCTCACAATCTGTGACTGGTGTTTTACTGCCATTACTCCAGGTATGGCTTCACGTAGTTTATCTTTCTTTAAAATCAGTTTCATACTTTTCCTATCTGTTTTTCTGCCGTGTTCATCGCTACAGCATGCAAAAGATTCACAAACACATAAATTATTTTACAAGAAGAATGAAGATAAAGTATTATCCCATTTTACAGATGAGAGATTAAGTCACTATGAGATATAGTAGCTATTAATTTGGGATGCCTACAGGCCATTTCTCGTAAGTGTTTAGCTTTGCATAGCTCCATCTACACCTTCTAGGGACTTCTGCTGCCAGTAGGAGTGCTCAGCATTTCCCAAAGCCCAGCCTCTGGTTCCCCAAATAATAAACACTTTATCAGAAGTCTTCTATAAAAGATTCGGTTTAAATTATTAGCTCACTCTCACACAGATATTCTGTGGCAGTGGCTGGAACAGAAATTAAATCTCAAAGCAAGCATGTACCCAGATATCCTTCCTTTTCCTTCATTCACAGTTTCAAGCTTTGCAACAAAAAGGAGAACTACAGAAAGTGGAAGCTACCCTCACAGCAAGCAGGTTAATCTCCACAGCACACTTCAGCAGTATCGCAAAGAATGAAATGTGAGGGTGTAAACAACACCTACATTCTGCAGGCAGATACGTGGGATGAATTAAAGTTGCACAGCCAAATTTCACACCTCGTATTTCTTTTGTTAGCGTATTGGTCTTAGTGGTTGCGCTTGCAACCAAAACATTTACCTAACGCAGTTCTAAAATGCAATTGCACAATTTTTAAAATGGAATAAAATAGGAAAAAAAAACCTCCAAACAACCCCACAAGAATTTCTTCCTATGAAACTCATCACTCCAGTCACAAGTAGGTCAGAAAATTTCGCTTCTCTGCACAACCTTCTGTCACTCGAGCCACCAGAGCACTCACTAGCTGTTAGCGGTACCCGAACAGCTCATCACTAGCAGAGATGAGACACACCCTCTACCAGTATACTCACAAAAAAAGGCCAGATGGGCCTATCTTAAGCCTGTGAGCCTATGTGAGCCCAGACAAGTCACTTCGCAAGAACCAGGAGAGAATCTTTCTGCCAAAACTTTCTCTCATGTCCGTAACTGCATCCGTGTTTCAGTCTCCACTTTTCCCCCCCCCCCCCTCCTACCCCCCCCCCTGCCGTAACACTGATAATTTAGCTTTTAAACTCAAAAATCTCCTACAGATGCCAGTCTCGGTCTTTTTTACTATCTTGTTCCTTCTAAAATATGTGAAGACTTGTAATATTGATAGGGTCGGCTATTTCTCTGAGGTACAAATCGGTACTGCTTTGTCAGAAAAACACTTTTTTGCCCTTATTTCATTCTTTGCCCTTAATCACGGAAGTATTATAGCTTTTCAGTGAAAACAGATAAACGCATTTCTTTACATAGACTCATTTCTTTTTCCCTCATACCATCCGTGGAGATTGATAAACCTTACCCAAACAGTAAAAATTGCTACCAAAAGATCAACAAGCCAAATTCCACAAGCTGACATAACCACTAGATATGTAGTGTTCACTCTCCCTCACAGAACTTCAAATCTGACAAAGTAATAAGGAAATGAAGCAATTCTTTTAAGAAGCAGCGAATACAATCTTAAATCAGAATTAACTGGCTTCATTCATTTTGTCATCTATTGTGACCACGATTTTGTATCTCAGGGTTTTCTGAGACACATGAAATCAGTTCAGATGGGTCTGTGTACAGACTTTATTTTTGTCAGACCTTATACTTCATCCACATATACGTATTTTCACAAATACAATGTATTTATAGTCACAAAGTATAGATGTGATCGCAGTTGATACAGTACGACCCCAGCAGCAAAATCTTCTGTTGGGAATAAAAGTTAATTTGCCCCATCACTGCTACTGGCCAAGAGTTATAGCAAAGGCTCATAAAGCTTTGGGTTTGTACACACACTGATATTTAACCAGAGCAAAGTCATGAGCAATTTCTACTGAGTCTATATAGATTTACTAAATATGATGCTTATTAAAGCAGCAATTAAAATATTTCTTATGAGACCTGTAGTGTCTTTAGCTGAAGTTCTGCTTTGATAAGCACTCACTCTAATACTGACAGCAAGTGAAATGTTTTGAATTTAAAGAACTGAATATAGAGAACAAAGAGGACAGAGAAAAACAAAATAGGTCTATGAGCATAACAAGAAGAATGCATCCACCAGTTATTTAGAGATGCATGTATCTGTTTAGCAGCTCATGAAAATATGCATATCTATATCCCCACAGTTGAGAAGATAAGTACATGGCAAAGTAAATTGGAGTTTTAAGAGAGAAAGCTTCAGCTAATGTCTCATTTTAATCTATCTCCAAGGCTGGGGAGTGTTGCAGGTATAGGAAGATTAAGGAAAAGAGAAAACAGGACAGAAATTCATTATGTTTAACAGCAATATACACAGCTAATTCATATACATTCTGTGCCATGCATTGGAAAAAATGCTGTTGAAGGTGACATCCCTGTTTTTTTCCAAATATATGTTTTTATCATAAAATATAATTTGACCTTTTTGTCTCCTAAATCAGCTCATGAAATCAAGTAAGGAATGCCAATTACTCTAAAAGCATCGAAGATCTCAGTGAAATATTCTAATTTTATAACATTTCTAGTTTAGGTTAGCTCAGAAGGTCATCAATTGAGCTCAAAAAACTTTCAGCCATAATTTCCTTAATTCCAGAAATACATTCTCCAGTACAAAGCTTTTCATGACAGGGGTCACATGTCACTGCAAAATAAAAGATTATCTTTTGACTTGCTTGCTCCTTCACACAGGAACATTTAGAACACATGGCAACTACAGCCATGTAATTTGAATATGTGTAAACTAAATATGATTTGGTGAGTTTAACGGGACTTTAATGTACTTCACCAGCATGAACTTAGGAGAAGGTTGTTCCATTACTCTATGATCATACGACAATTTGTAAGCCACTTGTGAAACAGAATATTCGGTTTGGAAAACTCTGCTTTACACTTATCCGCTGTCTAGCAAAAAATTAGTCTATTTGGTAAACAAGCTTCACTTGGTGACTAGGTGCAAGATCACGCATCTAAGAGCAATGAAAATGTCACACATCGAAAACGTAGAAATCACCCTTGAATTCAGTTGAACTCTCAGGAATCACAGGATGGCCGGGGTTGGAAGGGACCTCTGTGGCTCATCTGGCCCACCCCCCCTGCCAAAGCAGGGTCACCTACAGCAGGCTGCACAGCACCGCGTGCAGGCGGGTCTTGAACATCTCCAGAGAAGGAGACTCCACAGCCTGCCTGGGCAGCCTGGTCCAGGGCTCCGTCACCCTCAGAGGGAAGAAGTTCTTCCTCACGTTCAGACGGAACTTCCTGTGCCTCAGTTTGTGCCCATTGCCCCTTGTCCTGTCACTGGGCACCACTGAAAAGAGTCTGGCCCCATCCTTCTAACACCCACCCTTCAGATATTTATAAGCATTTCTAAGGTCCCCTCGCAGCCTTCTCTTCTTCAGGCTAAACAAGCCCAGCTCCCTCAGCCTTTCCTCGCAGGAGAGATGCTCCAGTCCCCTAATCATCTCTGTAGCCCTCCGCTCGATTCTCTCCAGTAGCTTCTCGTCTTTCTTGAACTGGGGAGCCCAGAACTGGACACAGTACTCCAGAATCACAGTATGAACTGTAGAATGGTTCGGGTTGGAAGGGACCCTTAAAGATCGTCGAGTTCCAACCAACCCCATCACAG